CAGCATTCATTAAAAAAATCGATGCATTATGATTCTTTCTCTAATGATTCTGGATCAATTCTCAAAAGTTTCCAACCATAGATCATGTTAATGTGGGCCGGCTCAGGCAAGAGATCTAATTTTGGACAGATTGATAATTATAGTTGTGGTGCTTCTAATGCGTTGTGCAGCCAGCTTCTGGTCACTGTTCGAATTCCTCACACACCCGAAAGTGAAATCAAAACCTTGAGTTGTCATTGATGTGGTGCCGCTCTGTACTACTCATCTGGTGTCCCAGCGGTTTTAGAATCACTAAAGGACATTACAGCACCTTTTGTGACAGACATTTCACAAGACATTTCATTACAGCACACTCCATTATGAGTGAAGACACGCAACTTGTGTTTTGCAAACGTGGGTTGTGAATGAATGTAATCTTAGCCTACTGTACAGTGTTGCAAAACATAATGAAGCATTACTATGCTTTAACGCATGCTTGTTTCGGAAAGTGAATATTTAATGAATATTTAAACTTTTTAATTTTGAGACTTAAAGAGCATCTATGGTAAATAATCTACTTTTCAAGCTGTTTGGACAGACAGGTGTGTAGGTATAGTGTATAGACCGTCATATAGGGGTGATATAAACACACCCAGTCCTTTTTTTTCAATTTAACAAAACAAACACGGTGGAACAATAGGAGCGGTTTTGTGACCGACTGCAACTTGACGTAGGAGTGCGGCCCCACCTCTCACCAATATTGGTTGACAGACACGCATTACCACATGCTCAGTTTGTTGTTTTACGTCTGGCATTTTCAGCATGAGTCAAAGCGATGTCACCAAAGAAATACCCTTGCATTGTTTTTGTATGTAAGGCTCATTGGGCCCAACACAAGAGCCTTCATCGTCTTCCCACGAATGAGCAACTTACATTGTACATTTAGCAGCCATTTGCGTGAACATGCAGAGTGAATGCAATGTATCGAGATTCGGGCCATTAAAAACCACTGATCCACCGAGTCTTTCAGAGCTCTCTCTTAAAAATTTGATTGATCTCAGCTGGCAGATCAACATTCACCACATGATCGCTCTCATTGGTGCCATTGTTTGTAACTTTACATGAGTTTGCAAACGTGCACCTTTTTATTGCGTCTTCCTTAAACTTCAACTGTTTGTATTTCCCGCGGTCACTAAAGCTCCCTGTCATCTTAACTAGGTGCGGCAGGAAAGTGTGAGCGCGTTGCCTTGCGTGCGCTTCCCTCCATTGGAAATAACGAACTTGCCTTAGTTACAGCCTCAGTCAGAGTGTTGAGAAGCCTTCATGATTAATTAACTGTGACGAGTTAAAGCATGGTTAATAGTGAAACCGGTTAATCGTTACATCCCTATAAAGAAGATGCATGCATCGTTACGTAGCGGCTGTAAAACTATACAAAGACACAAATGATTTTGTAACTACCGCTCTGACACATTTGGAATATTGATTCATCAACAGTGGCTTGTGTCTGAGTTGTACATGTACGGCTGAATGCTGGTCCTCTCACTCATGTTGCTCCTCTGTCTGCCTGTCTGTTGCCATACACAAAGCGGGGGAGCTCTTGGCTCCGGCCCCTTGTTAAGTTAGGCGGGAAGTCCAGTATTAAGACGTACAAGTGTAAACCGGTCCTTAGTGAGTATTTTTCGCGAGCGGGTTGCTTCTGCGTAGGGGGCAGGGTGGAGGATCGCGATGCCGGCTTAGCATCATGATGTCTATCGACGATGGCATTGTCTGTCGACCTAACTCTAACACACACTGACTACTCGACGCTGCTCAAAGGCTGGTGTATCAGCTTGGTGTATCCCTGTGTTTAGAATAATAGAAGAAAAACTATTGTCTAACTAGTGTCTGCAAAAGACTTGATATTAGAGCACCTTCCAGCATGACAATGTCCCTAAACATACAACCAAAGCTGAAAATATTAATGTGTTAAAATTGCCCTGACCTAAAGTCCAGACCTAAACCAAATGGGGTATACGTACGACTTTATTTTTTAGCAAATGTTCAACGGATATGAATTATTTTACAAGGCACTGTAGTATAATAGTCTGCTAAGGTGGTGTAACAGTGGTTTGATGGCTCTAAACATGAATATACTGTAGCCATAGATGCTGGAATGATGGTCAGAAGAAAACAATACAGTGTAAGCTTTTATTAATTTCAACCTGTTTATGCAGGTAGCTGAGCTGGTGAAAGAGCTGCGATGGGAGCTGGATCAGCTTTTAGAAGAGAAGATCAAAAATCCCAGTATGGATCTGATCAGCTGTCCTAGAGGATCTCGCATCATACACACAATTGTGTCACTTATTTCAACACAGTAACGGTTTGTCAACCAAATACAGAGGGGATGTTCACCTGAATACCTTATAACACGAGTTCAAGATTTTGTTGACGTTCATTTTAGGTTCATTTTCTTTCACAGACTAGTTTGTAGAGTTTTGATATTGTGTGATTCTACACAAACAGGATCTGAATCAGAGTCCACATTGGACTGCTTTCAATAAATATCTATATTGAAAAAAATTCTAACAGAAAGCATGTGCATGAATCTTGAATGTATGGCTGAGAGGAATATGAACGCACTTATTGTTAAATATTATAAAAGGCAATGGTGTTTTGAATTCGTAACTTCTATGATGATGATGTGGGACTACTACTATAGCTTTGATAATGCATTATCAAAGGTATTGAACATAAAATGTCAAAATGTGTGTAATTATTTAAAAATAAACCATTTTACTCCAGTTTACTTAGTTTTTCTCGATTGCTAATATTTTAGGTGCGTCCCAGATCGCATACTTATGCACTATTGTACACCATTTTGTAGTATAAATAGTGTAAGTGGTCCGTTAACACTGCACTTTAATTACCTGGATGATGCACTTATTCAACCACTAAAATAAAGTGTGGAATGTTGGACACCTCACACACTCACCTACCGCAGATTTGCTCATGTAGCGGAAGGGGCGGAGCTTTCGGGGGCTCATGTTGGATTATGGCAAAGAGCTTAGAATGACCAAGAGGCGATATTCAAAAGAACGTTCCATTGCAACAGCAACGATCAGCCATCCATTGGATCTTATTGCTGTCAATATGGCAAGCAGCTGCTTTATTTCTTATTCATTCATTCATTTTCTTGTCGGCTTAGTCCCTTTATTAATCCGGGGTCACCACAGCGGAGTGAACCGCCAACTTATCCAGCAAGTTTTTACGCAGCGGATGCCCTTCCAGCCGCAACCCATCTCTGGGAAACATCCACACACATTCACACACACACATTACGGACAATTTAGCCTACCCAATTCACCTGTACCACATGTCTTTGGACTGTGGGGGAAACCGGAGCACCCGGAGGAAACGCTGGGAGAACATGCAAACTCCTCACAGAAATGCCACAGAAAAGGCTCGAACCAACGACCAAGCAACCTTCTTGCTGTTAGGTGACAGCACTACCTACTGCGCCACTGCTTTGTCCTGCTTTATTTTTTAATTTATTTATTTAAAAAGCGCATTAAAGCTGAGATGCAACCTGAAAGACGACAATACAACACTTACTATCACAATCATCGGCACTTTTAATAGTTTATTTTACACACTTATAATATGCTGTTGTTCTATTGGAATTTTCATTCCAAAATGGCCTCTGCAAGACACCATTTTGGTGTCAGACATCTAGTGTCTGTTTCCCAAATCGCACTAGAGCACAGGTGTCAAACTCAGTTCCAAAGGGGCCGCAGCTCTGCACAGTTTAGTTCCAACCCTAATTAAACACACCTGATCAAACTAATTGAGTCCTTCAGGCTTGTTTGAAACCTACAGGTAAGTGTGTTGGAGCAGGGTTGGAGCTAAACTGTGCAGGGCTTTGGCCCTCCAGGGATTGAGTTTGACACCCCTGCACTAGAGTGTCGCCTCTTGGCGATTTTATGCTCTTTGATTACGGTAAAGTCAAGATCGGATACGTGGCAGGCCGGAAGTGCGATATGCACATTAATATAGCAACATTTTTTATGACACTGTTAAAAGTATTTAATATTTTACATTAATGTGACCGTTAGGTTTAAGGTTGGGGTGGAGGTAGGCGTTAAAAATACAACTTATTGGGTAATTTAGTAAAAAAATAATAATAATACTTGGTACAACTACTGTTTTTTACATTACTGTGATGGTTGGGTTTAGGGTTGGAGTGGGCGTAGATGTTAACAAAATACAATAAATGAGAAATTTATTAAATAAAATAAATAATTCTTGTTAACTTCCAGCCGTTATCTTATGCGATCTAGCAACAACCTTGGATTACTTTATTTATTTTGGATTCTGAAAGCAAAATTCTCCTTCGAGAGTGATTATAGCACCTCCTGATGGTGAAGGCCTCAAGGTCGCTGGTATGTGCCTCGGCTGAGTCAGTTGGCATTTCTGTGTGGAGTGTGCATGTTCTCCCCATGTTGGTGTGGGTTTCCTCTGGGTGCTCTGGTTTCCCTCATGGTCCAAAGATGTGGTATAGGTGAATTGGGTAAGCTACATTGGTCGTAGTGTATGTGTGTGAATGAGTGTGGATGGATGTTTCCCAGTGATGGGTTGCAGCTGGAAGGGCATCCGCTGCGTAAAACATGCTGAATAAGTTGGCGGTTCATTCCGCTCTGGCGATCTCAGATTAATATAGGGACAAATCCCAAAAGAAAATGAATGAATGATTAAGAATGTGTTAAGAGTTTTGCTGAAAAGTCTAAGTAAGATCTGCACATTGTGTTTAACCATGTCAACTGGTATTGACAACAGACTGCACAATTAGCTAAATGGGGTCAGGCAACTGAGAACTTAGTTCAGCCAATGGGTTTTTAGTGTTTTAGCAATTGAGGAAAAACTGCAAGTCACAAAACATTTATTAGAATCTATTATGGTGGTATAATTTGTGCAAATGTGTATTTAAATGTCTGCATGTTCGAGTAATTCCACAACAAATTCACCCAAATACTTCAAAAGTATTTTGTAATCAAATGACATGATTTTAATATTGCACTTAAATCAATACAGAGTCATTACTGGAAACAGATTTTCTTATTAAATCCATTTAGTTCCTATCAAACCATTTTAGAGTAGCAATCATGTTAGTGTAGAATATCTACGGTAGGAGGAACATATATGCCCTACTGAAACACAAATATTATGGGCAGTTGTAGAAATACAATATCAAGTAGCAGTACACGATGGTCATGTAACGTTCTGCTTATTGCTGTATTAAGTTTGACCAATTTTATTTCACATCTTTCTGTAATTTCACACCACAGAGAATGTGAAGCGTGTTGTATACGAGTATGTCTCTCCTGGCCTCAGCAGAGCATCTGGAAAATGGGGCTGAGGAAAGAAAGAGAACAACTATTCATTCCTTTTTTTCATGGACTAAAGCAAAATTACATACCGATAAACATGTACACAAAGATGGTCTGTGTACAATATATAGTGTACTATACAGAACAGTTCAAAATTGTGGAAGGAATTATTTTCCCAAAACTAAATAATGTTATTTACTCACCCTAACCCTTGTCACAAACCTGTTTGAGTTTCTTTTGACTATAATTTGAAAAATCTTAGGCAAGTGATAACCACTGACTTCCATCAAACTGACTACCAATAATAAGTTAAACAAAAGAGCATAGAATCACCAAGAGGCGACACTCTAGTGCGATTTGAGAAACAGCCACTAGATGGCAGCTATTTTGGAATGATAATTCCAATAGAACAGAAGCATATTATAAGTGTGTAAAATAAACTATTAAAAGTGCTGATGATTGTGATAGTGAGTGTTGTATTGGCGTCTTTCAGGTTGTATATCAGCTTTAATGCACTTTTTAAAATAAATAAATAAAAAAACAAAGCAGCTGCTTGCCATCGCGACAGCAATAAGATCCACTGGATGGCCGATTGCTTTCACCCCAAAATGGCAGAATTTGAGGCTGTTGCTGGGCGCTGCTGTTGCAATGGAACGTTCTATTGAGTGTCGCCTCTTGGTCATTCTAAGCTCTTAGTTAAACTCATAGATATATACACTAGATGTCGCCTGGCCTATTGGACGGAATGCGTCAATAGCGCTGCCATCTTGCTACAGGGTAGCTCTCCTTTGAAATGAATGCGGGACCAAGGTACAGTGGAGGACTATGGCCATCCAAAGTCAGAGATATACACATATACACATATATCTATGATCGGGAGTTTTCCTGGATGTTAGTATGTAATTTTTTTTTTTCTAATTACGAAAATTATAATTTTACATCACTTTTCTACATTGATGTATCAGTGACCGCACGGGCATTCCTGACAAAAAGCTTGTGTTTGTGTGTACAGAAATGTACTATCCACCCTCCCTGTTAAATTTGATCCAATCATGTCCTGAAACACACCTCCTCTGCTGCTTTCACTTCTCATACTGACGGAGGGAGCGATTCATTTGTGAATGAATCCCCCGAACGACTCTTTCACTAACGTTAGCCGACAATAATACAAGTTTCTGGCAGCGCAGCATCTCATTGTCATATTTCTTTCGCATTGTTTGCTGATTTTATTCAACAAAACTAGCATAAGCCGAGTGTTTAGTGCGAGTTGGAGCTGCTTTGCCTTATGGTAAATGCAGTAAGTGACTGTTATTATCAATAACGTTACCTGATTAGCACAAAAGTTCAGAACATACAAAAACAGAAAAAAACTTAATATTACCTATGAAATGTTCTGCCTTTGTGCTTTGTTTTCTTTGTTTGCTTGTTACTACACCCGTAGACAGCGATAAAGTCCAGCATCTTCACGTAATAACACTCTTGACTAGTGCGGTTGAATGACACTTGTCCTGGGAGCCCTGTACCAATGTGGCAGCGCTATTGAAGCATGCTCAGGGTCCCTATGCGATATCTAGTGTATATATCTATGAGTTAAACCAAAGACTAAAGAATACACAAGACATGTCACTCGTATACTTTTGAATGGGGAAAAGTGTATCTGTCAATATGGCGAATAAAGCCCCGCCTTCTAGTACAGGTTTCTGGAGGGCCGGTGTCCTGCAGATTTTAGCTCCAACCCTAATCAAACACACCTAAACAAGCTAATCAAGGTCTCACTAGGTATACTTGAAACACCCAGGCAGGTGTGTTGAGGCAAGTTGGAGCTAAACCCTGCAGGGTCCGGACCTCCAGGAACGAGATTGGTGACCCAATCAGTTCAGACTGACATTTCTCCGGGGCAGGGGCTTGGACTAGATGTTGATTTCTGCATTTTTAGTGTGACTCAAACATTTAGAAATTAAACTATGGAGACAGTTGTTGCCTAATGTAATTGTTGTTTCATGATATGAAATTTAATCGTAAGCTTGGCAAGCAATTTTGGAGAATTTGATGTTTTCCCATTCAAACAGAATGCCCGAGAGGCATATCAAAGATGGCCGCCGCGTGAAATGACTTGCCTTAAAGGGACTTTGGTTAAACTTTGTATAACTAAAAAAAAAAGTTGAAACATGATTAACGCATTAACATTATTAACAGTAACCAAAACTTTTATTTTCATGACTTTTCGTCATGTTAAGTGTAACTGTAATCATTTCTTTCAGGATAATTTGATCAATCTTTTCTTTTGTGACATTATAAATGTACTGTTGATACATATATTGCTTTGTTGCTGAATAAAAGTATTTTTAATATATAGTAATAGTAAACTATAAAACCTTATTAACCCCACACTTATCCAGTAATGCCACTTATAATGTATTTTTAATTAGATTACCTGGTTGACAGCATCAGGCCAGTTTTGGGTCTCCAAACAGAAGGCACTGTGCTTGGAGTAAGCAGCTCCACCTTTGCCTTTCACCGACCCATCCAGAAAGTTGGAGGTGTAGAACTGAACCCCAGGCTGGGTAGTGCTCACCTCCAGAACACGACCAGTCCCAGGATGCACCACTCTTCAGAGACCAACATGTGCAGTAAGAAACATACCAGCAGATTTACAAAACATGTGACTGCTGTCCCATAAATACATGCTTTGAGTGGAAAGTTATGTGGCTGACACAGCTGGCCACTTTAATAAATGACCAAGACAGTCAACTACAGCTGATAGCTACAGCTAACAGCACTGGTTTAAAATGGATTGCATAATGGCACAAAAACAAGTAGCTGACTACCACAAACAACAATAGTAAGTTAACCCACTAAATCAGGTGCTCGGCCCAACACCAGATAAGAACAATTTGTTTTTTTCTAAAGATGAACCAAGGCCTCAGGGTACTGAAACAATATGAGGGTGAATATTAATAACAGAATTTTCATTTTTAGGTGAACTAAACTTTTTAAGGGCCATGAAACCCCCCACTTTCGGTTCAGGTCAGAATTTTTTTAAAAGATGCATCATAATGGGTGTGGAGCTCCGATCAGAGGCAGGAGTGGGCGTGGCCAGCAGAGCAGGAGAGAAGGAGGGGAAGCGAACAACTGTTGTCAGTTAGCTCACAAAATGACACAAACTGTGAGGAGACGCATGACTTTATAGTTTACCAAGTTAAAATGCAAAGAAATAAACAGTGATTTAATGTCCTGCTTAGTTTGTTATTCGTTATTTAATATACAGACAACCACAATTTATATCATGATAAAGATAATCTTGTTCATATAAACATTATAAATGAGGACTTTTCCCTCAATCCCCGGGTATGAATGCAGACTCAGTGCTGCAGGTCTCCTGCCCAGCCTATTTCAACCATTAGCCCTGCTGGTAATCTGGAGGATTTAGGCGAACACAGCAGCACGGCGATGTGTCTTAATGTGAACGAACTCCTGATAAAAGACAAGTCCGCCATTCTCCAATTCTCATATTGCTCTCCCGACAAAAATGCTTGCTGCACACAAACAGCTTTGCTGTATCGACCCTGACAGCATCACAGGGAAAAAACATGCAACAAACCCTGTGGATCATGGAAACAAACACATATGACCCTTCATGAACAGCTAAATACTATGTGCCATGGGTCCATGGACGCGGTTTCACCCAGTCATCAATGTAGGGTCTCACAGCTTGGCACTGGCAGGTCTGCCTTGCCTTCAGAAAGCTCGCGCAGTCATGAATAATTAAGAAGCCGGCTCTTCTCATAGGATAAGAAAACTCCGCTATGAATAATAATGAGAAACCGACAAGTCATCTTTGCACTTGCAGTTTTGCGCTACGTCACCGATTTTGATCCCGCCCCCAAAATCATTTTAAACCCGGAAGATGAAATTAGCTTACAAAAGCTCCAAATTATCCGGTTTACCCCTTTAATTAAAGCTGACAGGTGCTAACATTGTCTTAACTGATGCTCAACACACAAATCTGTTAAAATCTCAAAAAAAGTACTCAAGGGTTTCTTGAACCTTTAAGAGCCATGAAGAGTAATCACATGACATGAGTTCAATTTTGCTAATCCAAGTAACATTACCGTGCACATTTTCGCTCCAGTGGAGGTTCACCAGGTAAATACAAACAGAAGTTGTGATCAAAGCCTGGACCAGACAGTTCTTTCAGTCTAGAGCCAAGGATGACAGGCTTTCTCAGGTCAAACGGAGTCTTCTTCACAGGTTTAACCTCCCCTGTACGTAATAATGCAAAATTGTTCAGTTTCTGACATGGAGTGATTAAAGGGTATAAATAAAGTGATGGAAATACCTGTGGGTATCACTGTATCATCAACAGGCAGGTAGGACTCGGCTGAGATAGTCACCTCGTGATCATAAATATCTAGCGTCCCCTGTAGAAAGATGTAGTAAAAACGTTTGATGACAGAAATTCAAGTTGATTTATTTAAAGGGGTGGTCCACAACGATATTATATTTTATATATAACTTTAGTAGACGAGTAATGTAGCTATGTGAACATAAAAAAACATCTCTGAATGTAAGATGCAAGGAGAGAAATTGGCTTTTACAGAGTTAGCTTAGCAAAGCCTACAGTGAGCGAATTTTGGGGACTACAGAGAATACATCCGAGGTAGTGAGATCACAAGGGCTTTAGGTTACACGCATTACAAACAAAGGTGAATTGAATTGAAAAAGAAGATGGAAAATGTTCTTTTTAGCAAACATTTGCCATCTTGTTTCAAACTATTTGCTAGCTAACCTCCAGAAACATAACACATTTAACTCCTTTAAACTCGGTATGAAATCAAACTTTACCCTATTTATTTTGTTAGCATATTTTACTAATTTTAGACTAAGCTTTTAGTATGATCAAATTCTGTTTGTCTGCGCAATCTTTTGTCATCATCTGATGAGTTTACAACAAACCCTGTGTTGGCACCAGTAGCCTAGTGGTTAAGTGTGCTGACATTTAGCACTGAGGTGCTCACGGTGACCTAAGATTGATTTCCGACTCTAGATCCTACATTCCTGTTTCAATTCTACTGTTCTATACAGCAATGGTAAAAAACCATAAACAATAGTTGTTTCTGGAGTCTGGAAAATTGGAAAACTGTTTAAACTTTACCTGAATCAATCAGTTATGCATTTACACAAGTTAGTAACTGTGTGTAATTGTGACTCAATGCAACAGCGTAAAATTGGCATGGACGGAGGGGACGGATGTCTCCACCAATATCCACCAATTACTAAAAAGTCACTGCCAATAATTTAATCGACTTCGACATAAAATAATACTCCGTCAACCTTAAGGAGAGTGGAAGATCATTCCATAGTCTTGGAGCTGCTACTGAAAAAGCTCTATCACCTCGACATTTTAAGCGTGATCGTGAAACTGTCAAATAGAGACGATTCTCAGAGCGAAGAGATCTCACAGGTTGGTGTATGATAATTAGCTCAGAAATATACTCAGGGGCCAGGCCATGGAGGCATTTAAAAACATACAACAGAACTTTGTACTGAATTCTAAACTGGATTGGCAGCCAGTGTAGAGAAACCAGTACAAGTGTATTGTGTTCTCATTTTTTTTTTGGCAGCTGCGTTCTGGACTAGCTGTGCATAGAGCCCATTCTGTGGAGGAAATCTTTGTATCGGATATGAAAATGGTTGAAATGGTTTGAAAAAAAAAAAAAAAGGTTTGTAGATAAAGGTTTTGGTTCACTAATTTCTAGTTCAGTCTTTGTATTCCTAGCAAAAACATGGTTCTACAAATGTCTTTTTTAATTAAGCAACCTACACATGCACAAAGTCAAGTTTGCTATGAGTTCACCATAATACTATTAACCAAGGCTGTGCAATTAATTGAAATTCAGTTTAAATTTTTTGATTACGAGAAACAATAATCGGGATTAAATTGCATCAAACACCTCTATAAATTTTGCCTGATTGCAGTAAAATCATGTTAATTGACTTTTGCAGCATGGGACGTGATTGTTATATGTATTATTAAGTGTTTATTTTATATTATTAAGTACTTTATTCATCTTTTTAAAAGCGCAAAACAGTTTGTGCTGTTTAAATTTCTGCCCTTAACTCAATGTAAGTATTTCTGAGCAGGGCTTTACATTACCTTTTTTTAATCACCGGCCACTGTGGCTAGTAGTTTTCCAATGTTACTAGCCACTCTGCATTTTCACTAGCCACAATTTTGTTGTTGGGAAAATATTTTTATCAAATAATTTTATATGCTTAAATTTGACGTTGACATGCTAAAAATATTTGATTTAAATTTTGTGCTGTGTCCACATGCGTCCTCATTCATTTCACTTTTTGTGTGTCGAGTATGAGCTTGCTCAATGAGCGTGAGCAAATGGGTCAGGGTTTTATAGTGTTATATTGCAATTAGTTTTCATTTCACATCACTTTTTTTAGAGCTCAAAATTAACAATTTACCAAATTTATCTCTATAACCACACTAAATAATAATTATTTCTTAGCCATAAATTTTTAATGTGTCAAAACAAGCAAAATATAGCTGTATACTATCCTTTTTATTTAACAAAACATTTCTTAAAAAAGTAAGAAAAGAAATTGACTTTTAAAAAATAACTATTGTCATGTATCAAAAATAAGCACGGTAATCTGCCGTGGCTAAAGATCTCTCGGATCACTAGTTGACTGCACATAAATAGAGAGTTCATCTCCCATTAAAGCAATATTGTAAAAAAAATTATAATAATTAAACCATTTTAACAAAAATAAAAGCAAATAAAATCGTAAGCAAAAAAATTTGAGCTCTTAAAAGCATCAGGACTGTGGGTGCATGTTCATCCCTATTTGTGTAGTTTATTTGAAAGAGAACCGGTTCCAGACACAGTTGCTTCACGATTCGGGAGCGTGCAGCACATCAGCTGTTAACACCAGTGATGAACGTCCTCTCATTCGGTATTCATTTGCTTTCTTCTGCTCGCGTGATCACAAATACACAATTATTTTACTTCTCGATTCTAAGATCACATTTGCACGCATATTGGGCAATCCTTATATTGTCGAACTCTGCCTTTAGGAAAACTACAATTTAAAAATGATTTTCAACCAGCCAAAGTGGCCAGTGGAGGTGTCTGTCTAACCCGCCAAAGCTGAAATCTACCTGCATTTGGCGGGTGTTAATGTAAAGCCCTGTTTCTGAGGCAACAGATATATTCACAGTATAAAACACTTATTTGACAGAACACAATCTGTGTTTATTTATTATTAACGAGTCTTTGTAAATCTAGCCAAAATACTAGCCACATTATAATGCTTTATAGGTTTTGTTGTGTCTTTATAGTAACATTTATAGAATTGTTGTACTTGATCAGCTTGACTGAACAGCACTACAGACACACACAAACCAAACATTATTACTTAAGCTTATGATAAATTCAAGTGTCTACTCTTGCTGCTTGTCTACGATTAAAGTAAAATTTATAGCAGTAGTATGAAACACGATGACAAAGACAAACCAACTGTCTTCTGAGTTATGTATTTATTTTATTAATTTGATGTATTATGTTGTTTTGTGACTTTCCGACCTGAATAGTTATAAAACTAAGCAGTGCAGATGAATTTTAAACGTGTCAGTCTAAAAATTAGTATATAAATAATTATAAACAGAGTTCTAATTCATTATGATCATGGCTTTGAAGAAAATGTTACCAAAACGTTTTTAAAACTTTTTCACTTTACCTCTCCAGCCAGGTTGAAGTATGAATGGTTGGTGAGGTTGATTGGTGTGGTATGGTCAGTCTGTGCATGGTACAGCACGCTCAGTGTGCTCTTCTCTAGCGTGTAGGTGACAGAAACCTTTAAGTTTCCAGGATAGCCTTCATCACCATCTGGACTACTGTGACTCAGTTTCACTCCATTATCCACTGCCTCTGTGCTCCACACAGCCTACAACACACACATTCACTTAATCTGCAAGAAAATGCATAAGCAACATTTTACCAGAAATGTACATTTTCACTAATAAAAATGTGACAGGGCCTGACCTAAGCTTGTCGTCCTAAAAAAATCATACAAAACAAGCATTATACAATTCAATGATAGAACGTATCCTTCATTGCCAGCTTCCTCTCAGTCAAATGATGTCACTTCCGAATCGTGTATTGCACACATTTTATGATAAATTTAATGCAAATGTGACAGGACTGACAGAAACACAAAGAAAATTGTACATTTATTTGTATTATATAATCATTCATTCATTCATTTGCTTTTTGGCTTAGTCCCTTTATTAATCCGGGGTCACCACAGCCGAATGAACCGCCAACTTATCCAGCACATGTTTTTTTTACGCAGCAGATGCCCTTCCAGCCGCAACCGTGTAAGCCGCATACACACTTACTCACACTCATACACTACGGACAATTTAGCTTCCCCAATTCACCTGTACTGCATGTCTTTGGACTGTGGGGGAAACCGGAGCACCCGGAGGAAACCCACAAGAATGCAGTGAGAACATGCAAACTCCACACAGAAGCGCCAACTGACCCAGTGACCTTCTTGCTGTACGGCAACAGCACTACCTACTGTGCCACTGCGTCACCCCATATTATATATGTATAGTATTAATTTGTAGAATTTATTTATAATTTCATGTTTTTATCATCAGTTGTTGTGAATGATAACATTACCTTGCTATTTTTTTTTTTTTTTGCTAGCTTTTTTTTCTCTAAATAAAAGTTTTTAGCTATTAAACTATTTTAACTATTAAAGCTGTAGGTTCAGTTGGAACAATGGCAGGGTTTGTAAATTTGTGAAGTGTTTTTAATAAAGAAAGAACAATTGAGAAGCAAATGAATGACATATTCCTTTACAACACACAGAAATCAACCATCAGTCCATTTTAAAAAATTTTGGGATGAAATAATTTTTACTCACTGTATTTTTGTTTTTATTTCAGGGACAGATATTGTACGTTTGTGGTAGAACGTCTTATACATTATTTTGAAAAATGGTTTCATAGCATGCTTTGTTTGTTTACCTTGTCAAAGCCCTTCAGTCCTCCATGGAGAGCATTGGGTCCATTGTTTATAGCTAGTTTATATTCCTTCTCATCGATCACAAAACGGCCCTTGGATATGCGGTTTGCAACCCGGCCTACAACAGCTCCAAAGTAGCGAGGATTAGAGAAATAACCTAGCTTAGGGGAAAAAAGAAAATTAATAATTATTTTATTTCAATAAAGTTAGATTTAGAAATACATCAGCCAGGCAAATAATCTCTTTAGTTGATCACTGCAGTGATGTTTTTACTTAAAGCCCCTCATTGTCCACAGAACAAATTCAAAGGCCCAAACTCTCCAGTAAATTTGACGTTTCCATTATTTTAAAGAACTGCACTTTCTTTAGGTTTTTTCGAATTTTAAGCAATAATTTACCTGATTTTTCTTGATTGATTTGTTTGTTTACTTGGTGAGGAATTTTACAAATATTTTAACTTTGAATTTCCACCCAATCTTTTGAGATGTATACAAGAATTTCCTAATTTCAATGTTTTTTTTCAGAATATTTAAAAATTATATTTTAAAACAAACTAAACTGTTTTATCTTAAGTTTATGCATTTAAATAATTGTAAGCTTGCTTTGTTTTCTTTCAAATTGCTTTAGGTGATTCCGAGACCCAACCGGATGTTTTCTGCTGTCCCAATGGTTAGCATCCCACATCCCACTGGTTTATAAAATACACTGGATTACAGGAATCTTAATTCCCCTAATATCCCAAAACAAAGATTTTAATAGTGTTCAGGTAATTCAATCAATTTTGTAGACATTTTTTTTAAATGTCTCATTTGCTATATCTTATTTTATATAATTTTATAAATATTTTGTTAATTGTGATGATAATAATACACATCAAACCATGCTGAGTAACTTGGAGTTGTTGTTTTTTTAAATCAACATTATGATAACAATATTTGTAAAAATATATTTACATAGTATAATTGAAGTAACACAAATAAGATGTTTTTAGGTTTGTTTTACATATTTTAACATTTTATTACTTACAGGTTTTCTTTAAAAACAAAATAATAAATTTGTTCTCCAATAAATCTCATTAATGTTTTAGAGAACCAGCTGAGATAATAATTAGAGAAACATTTTTTTTATACTTCAATTTTTTCAGTGCATCTAAAAAATCCAATCATAAAATCAGGTCTTTATTTTTAGACCTTGTTATTTCAAATCCTTCTTCTATTTCTTATTGGAACAACCTCTTTGATGATATTAAATGGTTGTATGTCTGGTCACTCCCCCAGACATTTTTTTTTTTACAAATAAAATTGAAGAAATATCTTTTAAATTTATTCACAGGTTTTATCCAGTTAACCAATTTTTACAAGAATTCAAAAATGACACTGACATCTCTTGCTCTTTCTGTGAACCTTCTTCTGAATCTGTTGCTCACTTGTTTTGGGAGTGTCCCTTTGTTAAACCGTTCTGGTCTGATGTAAACTCTCTAATTGTCCAAAAGGTTTGTGGTGATTTTTCTTTAAGCTATAGACATGTTATTTTGGGGTTTTATATTAAAGGCAAACAATTCCTTAATTAAACTTTTTGCATAAACCTCGTTTTATTTATTGGAAAGTTTTTATACAGAAATGCAAATAAACTTAATGTAAGCCATTTTTTTATTTTTTAAACGAGAACTAGATCTTTATTTAAAAACCATCACAGACTCTCACAACAAGAAAGCTTTTAAAACTTATAAAATATATGCTTTATTTAATATTCTGCAACAATTTGTTTTATTTTTATCATGTGCCCTGATTTTGTTTTTTTCTTTCTCTCTCTTTCTCTCGTTGTCTTTCTTTTGTTTTAACTATATTATATTTGTTTTAAAATTGCTACATTTCTCTTGTTTGAAAAAAGTAATATTTCTATTGATTGTACTATAACGTTCCTCCTTTCAGTTTTGTATCAGTATTTGTTGTAATGTACTGTTGTTATTGCAATAAAAAAAATCCTGTACAGACATGTGACAGGAAGCAGAAGAGAGAAACTAGTCCAAAAATCATTTGAACGGTCAAAAATACCTGCCATTCACAGTAAACAAACGCTTCTCATCTGTTATTTCGATGCATTGAACTGTAGAACTTGCCTTCTATATCATCGAATCCTAACACTATATCCGCACTTTGACCGCTGCGATCTGCTGTTTTGATGGACTTTATCACGCAGCCCAGAGAAATGATCTCCACACTGACACTCGCTGACCGCAGGATCCATCTCTCCACTGGACCCAGAGCAGTGCCGAACTCCTCTTTATGCACTTCGGTCATTATAAACCAAGCCGTTGGCTCTAAACAGGAGTTACAGGTCCACTGTTGCAAGAGAAGTTCCAACACTACTGACTACACTTGGTTAATAAACTACAAAGTACCGCCCACTCTTTCAAAATCTCTTCTGCAACAGAGGAAGAGTTCGAGGATGTCGTACTGCCACCGTCTGGATTTGGAGAGCACTTCGCGTGTATAAATAGCTATGGTATTTTGTGGTGCTTCTTTAATTTTGAAATGCGACTGCAATTTTTCAACCCTAAACTGTTGAAGTAAATCATAAAACTCTGCACATGGCTAAAAACAAACATTGGAAAACAGCGCTACACACAGACATATTTAAAAACTAATGTGATTCAATTACTTTAAGATAAGTTCAAGTTCAAATTGACAACACACAAAAACAACAAAGCAATTCCAAATGTCTAGACAAATATTTGCATTAATGTCACATATTTTGTGACATTCTGACCTGGATAGTTCTAAAAATAATTGCAGATAGACTCTAAATGTGTCAGTCTAAAAGTAGAAAAGTCCTAGATATGCTGTGCCCCTGGTGACTGAATCTTTACTCCTCTTTTACTCCTCTTCACTGAGACAAATTGCTATATTTGATGACTAATGAAAATGCTTATATATTTATATATGCTGAGCACTACATACACACACGTGTATATATATATATATATATTAATTCATTCATTCATTTTCTTGTCGACTTAGTCCCTTTATTAATCCGGGGTCGCCACAGCGGAATGAACCGCCAACTGATCCAGCAAGTTTTTACGCAGCGGATGCCCTTCCAGCCACAACCCATCTCTGGGAAACATCCACACACACATTCACACACACACACTCATACACTACGGACAATTTACCCTACCCAATTCATCTGTACCGCATGTTTTTTGGACTGTGGGGGGAAACTGGAGCACCCGGAGGAAACCTATGCGAACGCAGGGAGAACATGCAAACTCCACACAGAAACGCCAACTGAGCCGAGGATCGAACCAGCGACCTTCTTGCTGTGGGGAGACAGCACTAACTACTGCGCCACTGCTTCACCTATATATATATATATATATATATATTTTTTTTTTAATAGGATGATAAACAATATTATATTTGTGCATATACATTAGATAAGTCAGTACTGAAGCCAAATCTGGCTTTCTTTTTGTTTTCTTTTTAAATATTTCCCAAATGATGTTTAACAGAGCAAGGAAATTTTCACAGGATGTCTGATCATTTTTTTCATCTGGTGAAAGTCTTATTTGTTTTATTTCGGCTACAATAAAATCAGTTTTTATAAAAAAGAAAAAAACATAAGCCGCTTTAAGCTAATTTTATTTTCAATAGTCTACAGAACAAACCATCAAAGTAAAGCCTTTAAATGTTACTTTGGGCTGTATAGAAGTGTCTTGAATCTAGTAAAATATTATGTTCTGTCATCATGGCAAAGATAAAATAAATCAGTTATTAAAAATGAGTCATTAAAACTATTATGTTTAGAAATGTTTGGGAGAAATCTTCTCTCTGTTAAACTGAATAAACAGTGGAGCTAATAACTCAAGGGGGCTAATAATTCTGACTTCACCCTTATATATATATATATATATATATATATATATATATATATATATATATATATATATATATATATATATATATATATATATATATATTTTTTTTTTTTTATGTTAAAAAAACAGCATGTTAACCAGCATATTTTTTAAAAGCTTGATTTGAGGAAATCACACCATTTTTAAGTCGCATGGTCAGTGTTACAAAAATAATTTCATTTATTATTGATGCAGACATTACAGAGAGTCGATTTTTGTTTTATTAAAGAAACATATATATCATAAACAATTATTGGAACAAATTTCTCTTTGCCAAACACAGTAATAGAACCACCTTCCTTTGTGTACAAAACATTTTTGAATGAGTGCATGACGTTGATATGTACAGTATGTGAGAAACTGGGGCTGTGCGACGTCACGCAACAAAGTTTCAAGAGAACCAAGATGGCGGAAGACAGCGGACCGAGGAATCGGCAATTCTCTGCGACGAAACATAAATTAAACAACTTTGATGAAGGTGACAACCTTATTTCATACACGTATACTTGTAACGTCGGTTTTTCACCATGCCATATTTGCTTTTACCGGTAACTCTTTGCTAGTTTGCGCTTTGTTGACACGTTGAAAGTTGAAAACGGCACTTGAACTCGTGTTATTTCTGTTCACGTTGCTTTTTAACCAAGTGTGGATCAATTCGGAGCACAAAGCGCATGGCCCCGTGCACTTGAAAGCTGAAATTGATGGTTTATAAAACGTTTAACGTTAGTCCTTGTTTACTTGCGGTAACATCGAGCCTCGTGAGACGCGCTTCAGAGAGTTCAGATACCTGTCATTGACACCACAACGTTAACGGTTTTATGCGTGATACAAACAGTCTCAACACATGTTTTTTGTTTGACGCAAGCGGTCCCGATGACTTCTTAAGTTATTTTTATGCTTACTATTATTAGATTGCTTAATTGGCAACCTTGCAATCTTTGAAGCGAGTCTTTCCTAATGTTTTGCTTTGTCCTACATTATAGGTTTGTATTTGACCCCAACAGTGTGAATATTTCATTTTAAATGTGTACATTAACCACATTAAGTTATTTTACTGTATCACTGAATTCAGCTGCTGCTTTATGGACGTGCGCGCGCAATGCTTTTACACGCGGTCACAGATCTTCAAAGATCTCGCGCGCCACAGAACACTCACGCGCATTTAATGAATGCATGTACAAGTTTCTCACTTCAATATCACTGTTTCTTTGAACTTGAGTATTTGAGTTTGTGTTTCATGAGTTCTTCATGCTTTTTGTTTGTTCTCGTAAGCTTTAGGGTGGTGGATGTCCTGTATCCCTGTGTATTTAGTCTTGAATTAACCAGGGTAATTTGCCATGTAAATTTACTTTGACTTAGGGTTTGGCTGTTGTGTCCAGAAGATCAACACGTACTGATGTTGAAGTGTGCAGACCAATTATTCTAAGTTACTTTTTATCTGTGCAAACATATCAGTCGTTTATGAACTGATAAGACATAAGCAGATGGTTGTTGTGTTTGATGTGTTGTCTGTCTCAAGTTAGTGGTCTAATAATATTTGTCCTTTAAACGGCTGGGTTCTACTGTATCTGTTATTGGTTATAATTTAAAGCAAACATAAAGAAACATTTGTGTCTTGTGTCATTTTACAACGAGGTTTCATTTGTTACTTATAAAAAGGTTTAAATGATTTCTTAGCAACTTTGAATTGCATTTAGAGAATGTATTGCTAGAAATAGTAGGGCTGGACGATATCGCAAAAAAACAAAACAAAAAAAACTTGACAATATCATGTTTCATATCATTCAATATCGATGAATATTTTTTAAAAATACATTTAGGAATATTAGGATTTTTGTTATTTAACCACTTTATTTTAATTTACCCACATAACTAAAGCAAATAGTTTTAATAGTCAAAAACCAAAATATTTAAACAAAATATCTTATCTCTTAATAATAAATAAACAAAAGTGTTCAAGAGACTCCTAAAATTGATTAATAAAATGTTACAAAGTTTGTGCAATGGTAAAAGTAGATCGACATCTGTAAGGTGTCAATAATAATGATGCAGTAAACCTAAAACTCTGTAAACAAAACAAATTATAATCAAATCTGAGCTTTCAAGTAAAGGAACTAATCATCATTATTCAAATACATGCTGCAACATTACAAATTGTGAAGTTAAATGACTAAATCTTTCAGTTAGGGAGCTAGTGGTTGTGATGCACATTAAAAGAAACCAAAAAGCCACTCTGGCCACATCCTTTTTCATTTACAATCTCCTCACTGCTGCTATACTGCACTCATTTTTGCGTGTGTTGTTATTCTGACCTGAATTGACCAGTGCAAGTGCGTCTTTTCTTCACCATTTTTCTACAGCATCTCTCATAACTAGGTGACCGTTTCCTCAGAGGATAACAAACAGACAGATTATTGCTGCAGCTCCGACGCAAGTTTATGGACAAAAAGTAAAAAGCACTGCTGTGTTTGGATGCAGTTTGTCTCAGGTCAGGGGCGTAGTGGACATTTTAAAAGTGGGGGGACCGCTGTATGAAATCCAAAAGTTTACTTTCTTAATTACCTGTTTCTAAATGGTCTCTCTCTCTATAAGTGAAGGGGATGGATCCCTGCTCGCGGCATTCATAAAAGTTCAGGGGTCTCATGTTCAAAGACTTGCATTGAGTTCATACTAAAACATTGTGTACGGACAAAGCTGTAAATGTGCGTACGCAGTAAAAAATTCAGATGTATGAAACACTACGTGAAATCCCACGCATATTCTCTTTGTACATCCGAATTAACGTGAAACTGAGCGCATGTGCGCAAGCTCAAAACCCCTCCCTGCCTCCTCCCCCTATGAATATGGTAATGAATCCACTTCGGCAAACCCAAATGAAAAAGCAATGGCAAAAGCAAGCAAGAAGAGAAACTTCACAGAATTTGATTTGGAGGTGCTCCTATCGGAGGTAGACCGGAGAAAAACTTTGTTATTTGCAAGTTTGTCCTCCGCAATTAATAACAAAAGAAACAAAATAGAGTGGGAGAGATTAGCTGAAGTGGTTAACGCAGTTGGGTATGAACAGAAAAGAAATGGTCCGATGTAAAGGTGTAAAATTTTGTAGTGTCTATTTAGGCTAAGTGCAAATAGCGCACCTCATTGGAATGTGCTAGTTGAGTGATTCCCACCGATCACCGTTTGACTGACAGAGACAACATAACTAAAGAAAGCGGCGTTCGAGCGTAGCTCGTAAAGCACATGGCAACATGTTTTAACGCGATCAATCATGAACCTGGTTCGAATCCAGCGTCTGATGAACTCATTCTTCTTCTTTCCCCCACTACATATCAGATTTTGCCTACTCTTCATCACGAGGAAGACAAGTAGGAATCATTAATATGTGTTTGTGTTATGTTAAGCGCATTTGAGCATCATGTATTATTTGCACACTTATTGAATGGAAATGTTTTCGA